ACGAAGCAGACGGTGGTCCGATTCCATTCGAAATTTTGGGACAACAGCGACATCAGTCAGGCAAAACCATCGATTAAATATGATGTGGTGTATTTCATTGTGGAATCGTCCACCGGGAGACTCCCATGTCCATCGTTTAGATTCTGCCTTCTGGAACTGTGAGTTACCATGAATGGTCTTGGTCGACATGATGAATTCAGTCTCTCACCCTGTTCGTTCCATTCTAGGCCATGGGTCCAGATGTGAAGTTCTTCAGCTGATCTTCTCGGTCCTATCTTGGCATTAAAATCACCCACAATGATCTTGTAGAAGGTGTGGTCTTCTTTATAGAACTTCTCTAGCTCCATGTAGAACTTCTCGATTTCTCTTTCATCATAATGAGATGTTGGTGCGTAGACAACGAAGATAGAAACTGCAGGCAGTGAGCCACATCTATTCAAATGTAAACGTCCGATTCGGGTTGTTAGGCATTCGAATGAATCAATGCTCTTGGCCAAGTTTGTGTAGACAAGGACACCGACGCCTCCAACACCTCTTTTATCGCATGTTCTGAGGAACAATTCTTCTCCAGTGTCAAAAACGGCATGGTGAGATTCGTGCCTTCTTGTCTCGGTCAGACCAATGATGTCGTACTTGATCATTCGCGCTTGTACCATCAGGTCCTCGTTGTATGCATCTGATGCTAGCGTATGTGCATTGAAAGTACAGACGATCATTTTTGTCTTCCTTTGTTGTGGCAGCCTAGGTCGGCCTTGAGATTTTGTCGGCCTCTCCTTTCTCATCCTTCTCAGTGCTGCCATGTCGGTGAAGCCTTCAGGGTCAGGTGAATGAGACCAGTTGTAGTTCCTGGTTTTGGCATATCGAATACACAACGAATAGCTTGCCAGGCTCTTCCGTGCGGGCGGAATACTCTAGGTAGCTTGCCAGTCTTTCCAAGAGGGATAGAGGCTTTTGGGGCGACCGCTAATCACCCTTGTAGGTGTTACCATATTTGAACCCTATCAAATACGCTGTGGCATATTTGATATGCCAAAACCACTAACAACAAGTCTCACAATGTAGACATTGCTGGTCTCACAATGGAGAGGTTACTGGTGCCCACTCAAGAAAATTGATGAAAAACGGGAGGACAGTCCTACAGTGCAGTCCTATTATTTCTGAGGACCTCCCATAACTTACATTCCCCTAACTTCTCTTCAATGTCTTTTGTTACTAGCTGAGGTAATTATAATTTAAAGCAGTTACCAAAGATGCATGGATGAGTCAGTCATTTTTATTGGCTCCTTCCTAGGTCTGTAAGAAGAATGCATCGCTATCGATAATAGTATAATTTATTTTAAATTAAGTTCTCTAAGTCTCCTTTCAATTATTAAAAAGATAACTCAATTTTTTTCATTGTGTATATTTTTTAAAAAATAGTTGAACTTCAAATAGGAAAGAGTATATGTAGCTAGGTGACACCTTTCCTTTCTTAAAGGGCTAAAAAGAATAGAATCATTTCTTTATACTGAGACTGAAAGTTTTTCAAAAATAAATAATACATAATACAAGAAACTGGTCATATATAGTCTAACAACTATCAGAAAATACATATATTGGATGTAAATCCTTTATATGAAAAACATACATGGGATACATCCGATACTGGCAAATGCCTGATGTGGGAAGGGAATATTTGGGTTCTAGCTGTTGGCATCAAGCTGTGTAAGTAAAAGTAAGTTCCTCTATCCACATGCATCTTCTCTTGGGGGGAAAGGGCAAGAAGAGAATTAATTTCAAATATTTGGTAAGAATGCATCAGAAAGAAAGAAAATCTTTCAAATGAAGTGAAGATAGACTGAAGAAATAGTTCTCAAGTCTGATATTGCTTTTCAAAAAATAACTTTGTTGTGATAAAATCCAAATACATTTATAATTTACCAATTAAAGTGATATACTTGCTAAAATTAAATTTATAGACCGATGTCACCATGACCACAATCAATTTTAGAACATGTTCAGAAAAGAAATCCAATACTTATTACAAGCATTCTATTTCTCAGAAACCCTTATTAGCAAGCACTATCATCTATCTTATAAGTTTGATTTTTTTCAAATATTTCATATAAATTGAATTTTATAAGATATGGTCTTTTTTAATTAGTTCCTTACACCTAATTTCATGTTTTCAATGTTTACCCATGTTATCACAGGCATCACTATTTTGTTCCTTTTTGCACAGATAAAGCACATCTTTATATTTGTTAATCACTAAATGATGCTTGACAGTTTGAGCATTTTTTTCTATGAATAGTGCTGTAATGATCAGTCCTATATAATATTTTGTGTGAGTGTGTATTTCATGAATAAACATGGTTTTGGATGAATAAATATTTGAGTAGTTGTTTTTTTTTCTGATCAGAAAATTTTTGTATTTGGTCAATTTGAAATGCGTAAATAAATTTAAAAGCATGACAAAGATAATAAATGCAATAAATAATAAACATTAAGTTATTTAGGAGTATCCAATTACTAAATTGTCCTGAGGAAAATAATTTATCCAGAGTAAAACATACAGTGATATTCATAAATGTAAAATATGTTTGTTACTCAAATGAAAGCAGGATATTAATTGAGGATTTGAGGGGTGCTTAGTAATATCTGCTATGATATGATTATGCTTGGCATTATTGCACAAAAACTGAATTATAAAATATAAGAAGAGATAACTAGTATAATTAAAAAGTGTTTTTCCAATAAAGCCTTAGCTCTTGTTCCTGATACCACAGCAATTTAGAGTTTGTATCCCTTGGTAGTTTATGTAGTAGAGGTCATATTGTTATACATCTGGTATTGTGTCATTCAGGGAAACTTTTTCATTATAACACCAGGTGGATTTTCAACATGTGATGTATCCCTTTGGAATAAATTAACTGATACTAGTCTAAAATATATATGCTCATAGATACGTATTATTGTATATGTATATGAGTATATGTGTTTTATATATACTTCTTAGTACTGAATGATTAATAAAATATGTAAACACAAATATGTCAAAAAACTAAGAATGATTTTTTTATGAAAATTCCCTTGAATGTGAAAAATCATTCAAGAAAAAAAGTTAGAAAAGTGGAGAAATATATGTTTTTTTAGAGAATATAGTTAAATGAGTTATCACATTTATGATTTTAAAAATCAACCAAATAACTTAGATTCTAATTTTAATACATGTGTTAACATGAAAATATAATTTGAATTATAAGCTGAATCCTAAGTGTCTTAGAAAACATAAATAATAGGTTTTCTAAAGTGCATTTGAGGGAAACATATTGATCTCATATTTCCTAGTTCTTGAAGTCCAGGCTCTAGTCCAAAGAAATAATATCATACAAAATTCATAAGCATACTGAGAAAAGCTGCCCAGAGAAGTCCTGATAAACCAATAAACACCTGTGTACTATTATAATTAGAATAAAGCAAAAAAATGAAAGATACTCTTCTGTAATAAAATATTAAATTTCTAAAGATGTTTAATATAGATTTAAGTTATCTACCTAAAAAAAAGGTAAAAATATTGCTCAGGTTGCATAATATTTTTATCTACATATCCCTTTGTGTATATCAGACTTTATATTTAAAATCCAAATGATATATTCAATTTTAGCTTCCCAAGAAGATGTAATTTTTAACAGTTTCTCTGCAAAATTTTAAGAATAAAAAAAACAGAACATGCAAATTTTAAGTTTGAAATAGTTTAATTGTCATTGATCCTTTTTTCTCAAACCTTCTCAGACATAGCAACTACTCAAAAAATAAAAACTAAACATCTTAGAGTAGAGATGAAGAAGAACCTTGTTTGAGAAAGCAATATTCAATCATATAATTGAATGAATTCTTGAAGATTAGTAGATGCAATACATATTTTATTTTTCATTGTTGAGCAAAAACAAACTTCAACCACACTTCTTTTGTCTTTTTATTTTTATTGCCTTACTGTTTACTTATATAGTGACACAATGGATTAGTTTCATGTGTTTTAAAATAACAATAGCCATAGCTAAAATTTCTATCTTCTGTTCACTACAGACTGGGCACTCTAAATCCTTGTACATATATTGCAACAATGCTCATCATTCATACAAGTTGTGAGTGAGATTGATGTGCTTTCTCTTTGTTTGCTTTTACATAACATGAACAAATGTACAGAAAAGTTAAGTGTTTTTCCAAAGTCACTCACTGTCTGATCATTTTCAGAGACGGATTTGATCGTAAAGTTAAAATTTTAATGCTGCACCTCATTTGGTGGATGTTAATTTTATACATGGTCTTTAATTCTTCTGTTTTATTTGGTTTGTTTTGGTTTTTTGGTGGACTGAAGTTGAAAGGTGTAGCATGTAGTCTTAAATATAGGGACACTTACCGGATACAAATGTGTATGATATATCTTTTACTTTTAAAAAAGAATATTTGCCATTTAAAAATTAACAAAGGTTTAATGTCACCTCTAAAGTAATTATTCTAATTTTATCTGAATAGTAAAACATAATTCGACCTTAGTTTTGTCAGCACCAACCAGATTTTGATTTGCGAATAGAGATGAGTTTCATAAACATCATCACTAAGAGCTATGCTCTAGAGAAATACAATATAATATTCTTAAAATATGTTTAATCTAAATCTGTGTTGTCCAACTTCCCTACACAATAATAGTCTTCATGAAATGGAGAAAATAAAGAGGTAGATTTTTGTGTTTTTAAAATAGGTGTTATTAAATTTTAAATGCTGCATAGAATATAATGTGAACATTTTTGAAGGAATGAGTGAAAATAAAGGAAAAGCTAAATTAATAAGTTCTCCATAGTGTTTTAGGGTCATAGTCTTTTAAGTATATTTTTTCCTATGAGTGGAAGAACATGTTTTTCATCACACTAGTATGTAGTTTAAAGAAACTCTCATCTGTTTTCCAAGGATGCTTTGGCTGTTGAGGGGGTGTTGGTACTCCATATAAAATCAAAACAATGTGGTACTGGAATAAAGATTCTCAGACAACTGTGAAAGAATTTAGAGCCCACACAGACCTTCAGGTATACAATCAGCTAATTTTTGAAAAAGGAATAAAAAATGTGAAGTAGAGCGAGGAAATCCTTTTCAATGAATACTGCTGGGAAAACTGGTCGGTCACATACCAAACATGAAATTAAACCCATAACTTACACCATGCAAAAGGTCAATTAAAATGGGTTAAACAGCAGCTTGGAGCAGAAAGGCGAACGGACTATGCGTTAATCCACGCCATCTTGCCTGCCCGGAGGGGAAAGGGTTTTGCCCCATTCGCCCTCTCCTCTCTGGAAAGAAAGATGGCTGCCACATGGGAGTCTTGTGGAGAGCAGGTCTGAGCCGGGGGTGGGGGCGCGACTGAAACCTCATGGGACGGGGAGGGGGGGTGGGGGGCGCATTCTGGCCCATCCTTCACACCTGACCGAGGTCACCAGTTGCCCCCCATGAGTGGCTCTCAGGCACGGCCACAACTCCAGAGCACAGAAACCAATCTCTTAATTATCTGACTCTCAGTAGAAATACTTCCAGGGTTGATAAGTAAAATAGCAGAAATCCAAAAACGCTCGGCCACTATCCCGGCCGCGCGACATCATTTAATTCTTGAACCCAGCTGTAGAAAGCAAATTATTTCACAATGCTTTTTCAGCATGGCTGATTTTGGGCGCGGGGCGGGGGGGGGGGGGGGGGTAAAGTCTAAATAATAATGGTGCAACTTTTATCAAAACAATGAAGTTAGTCAAAGTAGATAGAGTGTTAACTAGAATTCATCTGCCCCACAGGCATGGGGGGATGGAGGGTGGGGGTTTATTGGGGTCCTTCGTGGTGAAAAATAAGTACTGGTAAAGGGAAATGTGATTGATATTTGCATGACCGAGACCTAAACCTGAAAGCGTTGTAACTTTTCCCACAGCAATTCACTAAATAAATTAAAAAAAATTGGTTAAAGACCTTGATACAATACCTAAATCCATAAATAATATTGAAGGAAATATAGGCAGAACCCTTCATGGCATTAAATCAAAAGCTACCTCAATGATTAAATGCCATTGGCCAAGCAAACAGATGCAAAGTTAAACAAATGGGACTGCATCAAATGAAGAAGCTTCTGCCATGCAAATGAACAATGATCTAGGTAAGAGAACACCCTACAGACTGAGAGAAAATATTTGCTCACCACTCATCTGACAAAGGATCAGTTTCAAAGATATATAAAGCATTGAAAAGCTTAAGAATAAACTATCAACCTGTTGAAAAGTGGAAGAAAAGAAAACAAAAACTTCCTCAAAGAAAGCATTTAGAAGGCCAATAGGTACATTAACATGCTCTGACTCTGGGGCTAAAGCAACAGTACAGCCAGTAAGGTGTTTTTTCTTATATGAGACTGACTGGGATTTGATCCACATCATTCCATATGGTCTTCAAACCAGGAGGAGTGATCCCTAAGCACAGAGCCTGAAGTAAGCCCTAAGCATCATCAGGTATAGCCCAAATCCAAAAATAATATTCGTAATAATTAATTTTCTATCACTAATTATAAGGGAAGTGCAACCAAAATAATAATGAGATTTCGCCTCAAACCAGTGAGACTGATACACAAAAATAACCGGTGTTGACATGTGTGTGGGAATAAAGAAACTCTCATCCACTGTTGGTGAGAATGTCAACTGGATCAATCTTCTTGGAAAATAGTGTGAACACTTCTTTAAAAGTTAAGAATTGAGCTTCCATAGGACCCAGTAATTCCATTCTTGGCAGTTAACTACTCCAGATTCTGCCAAACTATTTTCTGTAATGATATTTGCACGTATATGTTCATTGCAGCACTATTCACAATAGCGAGAATTTAGAAACAGCCCAGGCATCTAAAATCAGATAACTGAATAAGTAAATAAAGGTATATAATATTCACAATGGAATACCTCCTCAGCTATAAGATAAAAAAAACTTGCAATTTGCCATTACTTGGGTAGAACTGAAGAATATTCATGTTGTGGGAAGTTAGTCAGAAGTACAGGGACAGACATGGACTATCATCTCATACGTGGGCTATAAAGGAAAGAGTAAGGGAACAACATCTGGTCAAATGCAAAAGAAAATCAAAACTGACCTACAGACTGAGCTTCCCAAAGTAGGTGGAGGAGCATGGGTGGTGGAGCTAGAGAACACTGATAAAGGTGAGGGAGCAGGACACTCTGATGGAGGGGATGGTGTTGTATGCATGACACCCTCTGTTTCATATTACTGTAAAGTATGATGCCCCAATTAAAAAAAATTGACTGGATGTGCCAAAATGTTGGAACATGAGTAACATGCTTGGCTGGCAAGTGCTCCACCAAGGTTCAATCTCCAGCACCACATATGGTCCCCTAAGCCCTATCAAAATTGTTTCCTGACCTCAGAGCCAGGAGTAAGCGCTGAGTACTCTCTGGTGCAACCCAGTAACCAAAAACAAACTAAAACCTTATTTTCTATATACATATAAGAATTCTATTCAGCCTTAAGAAAAGATGGCCCTCCCATTGATCATCGATTTGCTCGAGCGGGCCCAGTAACGTCTCCATTGGAGACTTTGTTGTTACTGTGTTTGGCATATCGAATACGTCACGGGGAGCTTGCCAGGCCCTGCCGTGCAGGCGAGATACTCTCGGTAGCTTGCCGGGCTCTCTGAGAGGAACGGAGGAATCAAACTCGGGTCGGCCATGTTGGCTGTGTGCAAGGCAAACGCCCTACCGCTGTGCTATCGCTCCAGCCCTTAAAAAAGCATGCGGCTGGTTTGGAGATGCCGGGGAGATGAAAAGAAAAGATGAAATCCTATTATTTGGTGCTATGGCTATGAGGATGGATCTGGAGAGTATAATGCTCAGGGAAGTGGAAGAGAGAAATAAATCTGGAATCATCTCTCAATTGTAATAGAATAATCATATGTAAGAGAATAACAACCAGTCAAAAGAAACAGGACTGAGAACCTGTCTACAGAATTGAGCCTCCTTGGGCACCTCTGTTGCCAGAAAATTGTACACACAAAACCCTATCATTAACAGTGTTGTAAAGCATGGTATCTTAAAAATCAATTAAAAAAAAGAGAGAGAAAAAATTAAATCTTATTGTTTCTAATTTGAATTTCCTTTGACATGAATACAGGTTTTATACTTTGGTCCATGTGAACTTAATCAAGAAAAACTTACTATCTCAATTGTGTAAACACAAAAAGACAGCAATGGTCTATCTCTCCCGCCATCCACGGTCCTAAGCTCAGGCCGTTTCCCTTCTCCAGGGAGGTCGATGGCAATGTGCAGGTGAAGGAAGGAAATGAGGACTAGGCTGGTAGGTCTTAGTTGCTGGTAGGTCTTAGTTGCTGGTAGGTCTTAGGTCTTAGTTTATTCCAATCTTATCTCCATTAACTCGTCTCTCCTCTGCCTCCCACAGCCCACTCTTACAGTCTCATTATATCCCCCAGCATGAGGGGTTGGTGTTGCCTGAATGTTCATTCAGTCAGAGGTGCTGAGACAAGGAACAGGAAAGAAATTTATGTCATGGAGGGCCCAGGTTCTCTCAGACCCCGGTAGAGAGCCCCCAAATCTCCTCTTATTGATCATGGTACCTCTAAAGGGCACAAAGCAGTGACATCATCAAAAGGAGTTACAGAAAGAATACTGAGGCAGCAAAACATACATTGTTCCTTTGCATCTGCAGGCCAGTAATTTTGGCCTCCTGAAAGAAGATATAAAACCAAAACTGAAACCTTTCTTGGGCTACAAGCACTTGAAATTTGCATCCCAAAGACTAGTCTGGCTAGAGCCTGGAATCTACATCCCAAAGATCAGGCCTGGCTAGTACCTGACATCTGCATGTCAAAGACCAGCCAGGTTTCTGTGAGAAAAGAAAAATTGCCTCTTATAATATACTCAAATTATTTACTGAAGGTAGTTTGAAAGGGGAAAATGTTCAGGCTCATCCAAACTAGTCAGGACTCACTAGAAATCTTGGACATTTTCATGGGTCCCTATGTCCCTGCCTCTTGTGTAGTACAGTCTACATGGGCTCACCCTGACAGCTCAGTCCAGCCCCAAAAGGTTGGAGTAACAATTACACATAGATGTGGTCACAATCAACAGTGGTAGAATTCTTTCCCTGGGGAAAGTCACTTCTAGGAAAAATTCTCATTTAGCAGATCTACCCACCCTAGAACGAAATCCCCTGGGTGGGTTTCTCCTCTCCGTGTCCAACAAACATATAAGTATACATAATATAAATTATTTGATATGGACACAGTAAGAAATACTTTAAGCTTATAGAATTGCTCTCCTAAGGCCATCTCAATCTCAGACTACAGTGCTCAGGCCAGATAGTCTTTCCTATCCCTAGCAGGGTCCTAGTCTCGTTGTTACTTTTGGATCATGACAGCATTTCTCTATGATCAAACTTTTAATTTATAGTTAAGTATTATGGCACTTTGACCTGGCCCATTTCAATGCTAGGGTAGCTCACAGCTAGCCCTGGGTCCATTCAGTCCCTCATGGGGTCCCTGCTTTTGGGGTGCTAGTAACTAAGAAGAATTGAGGCTTAAGTCGAGAAAGCAGATGCCTGAGAGTGAATAATATTCAAAGCCAGTGAAATCCTAAGTTACAAAGCATGATATTAACTGTCTTCCTGTATCTATACAAGAAGGACCTTGCATTAAAGTATCTATTCAAAAGACATAAGGAGAGGAGAAAGGCAGTATTAACTTACAAGTTCAGTGTCCTAGAAGGATCTGACCTTACAAATTAACAGATTCTGATTAGGGGAAAAGCTTATTAACTGGTTGGGGAAGAGAACATAGAGAAGTGGTTACAGATAAAAGAATGGACGTGACTCAGGGGCATTGTGATGGGTGTGACTCAATGAACCTAAACTCCTTGTGGCAAGGGAGAAAGGACAAATCAATTGTCATCCTACACTCAATGTTTTAGTATTTTTCCTCACTTTAAATTCAGATTCTATTGTCAGTGGGCCCCACAGGTGACTTATGTGAAGTGGGGAGGAGAAAGACGGTCACTTTCTCCCCACCCACCTCTGCCACCCGGGACCCAGGGTTACTGGTTCTTGTCTCGCCTCACAGAAAGGAATTTCAGGAGTAGACAAGCAGTGAAGTAAATAGATTTTATTTGTAGGATTTTTAGGTATGGAGGGAGAGAGAGTGAAAGAGAGTAACTTACTCAAGAGAGGACACGGGCTTCTCCAAGAGCAGAGAGAGAGAGAGAGAGACGAAAGCATGAAAGTACACAGCTCAAGAGGGGAGATGCAGGCGACACATGTGTTCAGGCACCACATGTGCTCAGCCATGTGGGCGTAAGCACACATGGGCTCAGGCAGCATATGCGCTCCCTTCCTTTGTTCAAGGTGGCCTTTATAGGGTTTCTCCAGCCTGTCCCCACGGGAAGCTTCTTCCCAGGTAAAAGTCCGTTGCTAAGGAGATTACCAGGGAGGTCCAAAAAGAGGAGTTTCATGGGGAGGCCCATAGCCTCAGGGTCTGCGGATGGTCTTATCAGGCCTTTGTTTTCTGTATCCACAAGGTGGGTCATTCCAAAAATTCTTCTTCCATGAAAGTTTGTTTCATTGCAAAGGGCCATTCCCTATCTACCTGCCTACATCAATTCCACTTTTCTTTTTTTTATTCTATGTGAGGGGGCAATGACTGCAGTAAAGCACTGAACATGTCAAAGGGCCCTGTTACATTGTCTACCACTGGGTCTGTCTGTCTGACAACTAAGGTTAAAAAAAAAAAAAAACCTTAGAGTACCCAAAGTAGCTTTGTGATGTTAAGTTTTGGCAATTATAAAAATTAATCAGATTCAGTGTCAAACCATGATTATAAAAAAGGTGCAGTTTCTTACCCTCCAAGGGAGTTCTTTTTCCTCTGCTTACTTTTGATGTGGTGGTAAGGGTACTGGATAGTAATATCTTTAAAAAATTCTACCTCTAATGAAAATACACCCAACTACTACAAAATTATAAGGAAATAGATGAAACATTGACTCAATAATTTTGTGTGGTTAAACATTTGTCTACATATCTATTTTTCTATATATCTTGGTGGTGGAACCATTTGGCTTTTATGGAGACAGAAGATTTAATTGCATTCACAAATATAAATGAGCTTGACAAAACTATGTGGCCAATACCTATGTGGATATGTCCACGCACACATATTCTATACTGTGGCAGTTCATCTGAATACCAAATATTGATTAGGAATATTTCATGAATAAATATGTATGAATTTTTAAAATAAACTATGTTAGAGACCAAAGTACTCTTAGTGGTAAATGGCAGTTATTTCTAGGAGGTGGAATGCTATCCAGAATATTGAAAAATGTTATTCTCTTTTACCTACAATTTACTAGCAATACAGGAAGTGCTACAATGTTATTTGAACAAATTCAAAATATGTAAGATATACAACTAAAGCTTAGAGATGGCAAAAAAAAATGTGATGAATGAGACTTTAGGTCTTTAACAAAGAAAGGTTTTCAATTGTATTGTCAAAGGATCTATATTTATTTGAATTAACAGTTGCTGACTTCTGCCTGGTTTTTTTTTTTTCAGGTGTCAACAGAAAGGATAAATATAATCCTCAATTATTCTTCCTGCATCTGCCAAGCACATAGGCCAAGTTCAGGAAAAGGGACTTCAAGAAAATAGAGCCCTACAATCTCACCCTCATCACGAATGAGAAAAATTAATTTGGTGCTAATTAAAATGGGCTTATCTTGTTCAGTATTGACCACAAGGAAGTGTCCATTTTTAAATCTGAGTAGAAACTGGTTTAAAATGCCTCCAATGATGCTGTCAACTGCCCTAGAGTACAAACCCAACCAAATCCTCACAGGAAGACTGACAACATTTACAAACTGACCAAGCAGCCAACTTTGACAGAAATCAATGGTAAATTTCAAATGAAGCTTAAGTTCACTGATTCACTTTTCTTGATCAAACTTCTACTGATGATTTTTTCCCTTCTCTTCCCCCATTATTTCCATCTTTCTTCTTTCCTCGGTTCTTCCTTTCATTTCTCATTACCCCTCTCTCAGTCTTGCTTCCTTTGAAACTTTACTTGTACTTTTGGTCTAAAACCATTTTTTTTTTTTGCTTCTTTGTGTGGTTCAATACACTGTTGTTATTTTTTTTTTTTTTAATGAATCACCATGGGGTACAGTTGCAGACTTACAAACTTAATTATAAGTCTGCATTACATTTAAGTCTTACAATGATCTAGTATCCATCCCTCCACCAGTGCCCATTCTCCACCACCACACCAATGATCCCAGCATCCCTACCACCACCCCCACCCCATGCCCCCCACCCCACCCCGCCTCTGTGGCAGGGCATTCCCTTTCTCTCTCTCTCTCTTTCTCTCTCTCTCTCTCTCTCTCTCTCTCTCTCTCTCTCTCTATCTCCCCGCCTCCCTATGGGTGTTCTGGTTTGCAATAGAGGTATTGAATGGCCATCATTCCATCTGTAGTCTGCTTTCAGCATGCATCTCCCTTCCCAAGCAGACCCTCCAAGCACCCCATGCTTCTTAAACTTAGTAAAGTCCACCCAAGTTGCTGCTTGACTTAAACATCTCTTCCGGGCAGAAGAGATAGCACAATGGTAGAATACTTGCTTTGAAAATGGCTGACCTGTGTTTGATTCCTAGCATCTCATATTCTTCCCCACCACCCTCAGCTCTGCCCGGGCTAATTCCTGAGACAGGAGTAACTCCTAAGCTTCTGGGTGTGGCCCACAACCAAACAAAAGAAATCTCTTTTGCCAAACATAGTACAGTGGATAGGACGCTACTTGCAGGCTGCTCAATATGGTTCTCTGATCCCCATAAAGAGTAGTTCCTGATTGTGGAGCCAGAAGTAACTCTTAAGCACCTCCAGGTATGGCTTAAAAATTTATAAAAGATATTTTGGTTTTCCTAAATCAAATGTATATTACTTTGCCTGGATGTTCGTAATTTTATATAAGATATGGTGGGATAATGCATTTTGTGCTTCAATTTTTTGCCTTTATCATAATTGCTATGGCAATAAACAAAACTGAGAGTCTGTGCAACTTGTAATGTGACTTTGAAATAGGAATATAGGATCGTGCCAGGACTCTGCCGCGTGGCAGGGCTCGCAGGCAGAGTGGCCTGGGTGCGGGCTGGTGTCCAGGGCCTGGGAGTGCAGCCCGTGCAAAGGAGCCGGAGCAGATGCTGGAGTGGCAGAGGCAGGTCTCTGAGAACCCACACTCTGAGTATGGCCTCACCAACAACATTGAGAGGATAGTAGAAAATGAGAAGGTCAATGCAGAAAAGTCATCCAAACAGAAGGTGGATCTCCAGTCGTTGCCTACCCATGCCTACCTGGATCAGAATGTTGTACCTATCTTATTACACAACCTTGCTGTGCTCGCAAAGGAGAGGCCACCAAATCCCATTGAATTTCTAGCATCATACTTTTTAAAAAACAAGGACAGTTTGAAGATTGAAATTGACTTATTGGGAAGAACAGAAATACTTGGTTTCTACTGTAGATTTACATGATTAAGAGGCAGCTTTAATTGCCTTGATTTCCTGTCGTGATTCCCTCACACACCCCCTTTTTGGAAGTATAAGAACCTTCAGGACAAGAGAATCTACATCTGGAGTTTCAGGAGAAAATCTGTCTTCCTTATTTTGATTTGTTTGTCATACTTATTTAATGAGTGTATTCTGTGCAATTTTTTTCTGATTGCCTTTAACCTTGTTTCTATAATGACCTTCAAAATAAACCATTAAAACATCAAAAAAAAGAGAGAAAGAAATAGGAATACAGCTGTTGGGAAAGCATTTTAAGGAGGCTTTGTTGCACAACATTTATCTGTTAGATTATAATTTGCCAATATTTTTTTGTACCTCATCTATTGAAACTTGAAAAGGGATGATAATCTGCAGGCAAAGTATAGATTTGGGGATTCTTTCATCTACCATTAGAATAAGAATTTTCAATTACACCACTAATTAAATAGATTCAAAGCATGGCTTAAACATGACATTGTCTCCTTTAAGCCTAGTGGTATCAAAATAACTTATTATGCAAACAAATTCATACATTACTAATAAAAATTAATATTATATTTATCCTTCTTTTGGGAACATTAATCTTTTGGAATAATTCCAAGTTCATTTGAAAAAAATAAACCAATATTTTATGATACATTCTATAATTTTCTCTATTTCAAGAGGTTAGAGGAATATGAGTATTATGAAAAATGAAAATAAAATAATTCTGAAGCTTTTAGATAATTCATGTTAAAATATGCAAGTATGTTATAAACTGTATTTTATATCACACATATCTCAACATTTAACTTCTAATAAGCATAGTAAAAACTCAGTGAATATTTGTTATAAGGTTAATATCTGCTGTTATTAAAGTTAATGAATTGGCATAGATTGTTCATCAAACCTGGTATTTCAAGACACTGCAAATAAAATCTCTGTGATCTTATCCATCATTTCTATTTGTAGGAGTTCATTACTCAGCAGAAATCTAAGTTAGATATGTAAATTGCATAGATTTTGTTATAGAAAGATCTAAATCTGTCTTTATTGGACCAATTTTACATTGGAAAAAGTGATAAATATTATTCTCTGATAATACCAACTGCTGTCAAAATAAAGCGCAAAAGAAATTCTCAAATACTGCTAATGGATGTGTATTTTTTTTAATCTCCATGAAAATATATTTGCTATTAAAAGCACAATTTGAGCACACATATGCTGCTTGTGCCCATGCAGCCAAGCACATGTAGCGACTGAGCACATGTGTCGTCCGTATCTCCCCTCTTGAGATGTGTACTTTCATGCTTTCATGTCTAATGCTATTATGTGTATAGAGGCTCTCTCCACCCTTGAAAAGCCCACATTCTCTCTTGAGCATGTCATTTTCTCTCTCTCTCACTCTCTCTCCCTCCACACCTTAAAAACCCTCCAAATAAAATCTATTTATAAAACACACACACACAATTTGATCATTTGCAGATAACATACTCTACCATTCTTGTGATTGTTATAACATAACCTACCGTTTTTGTGTTAGTTATACACTAAGTAAAAAAATGCCATCTGATACACCTAAAGACATGCTAAGTATTCTTTGGAGAAATCTTATTTGTAGTGGCAGAAATTAAAATAAGGTCTGAGTGACAGTATAGTAGGTAGGACATTTGCCTTGCACATGGATGATCTGAGTTCAATCCCTATCACTCCATATGGTCACCTGAGCACAAAACCAGGAGTAAGCAACCAGGAGTAAGCCCTGAGCACCTTTGGTGTGACTCAAAGCCCTCTCCCTCAAAATGTTTAAAACAGACCAAGTATAATTGTTTAAAAGGATAAATAAATTCTTGTGTTTTATACTTTGGTATATTGTCTAATAGTGTAACTGAATGAACAACAGCTACTAAAAACAATATGAATAAATCTAACAAATTCAGAGTGCTATTGTAAACCCAGGGATAAATAATAGAAATTCTACTATAAAAAGATCTAATTTTTTTGCTAAAGAACGTCCTTAGTAGTCAGTAAAACAACTACTTTTTTTAAATATCACAAAATAAACTACTAAAATATTGTCATAAGACAATAATAAACATTAATTATTTTTTGTGGTACCTTTGTGTCAAGTTTTGAGGTTCTGGCTCAGGGTTAATCATGAAATTTCAGTCAAAGCTGCAGTAGCTAAAGATGACCTGAACTGTGTCATAAATCTAACTGCACAATTGGTCTCCACTTTGTTGTTCTAAAGAGATATTCCATCCCTCTTGTTTTGCCAACAAGTCTAAATTCTTGCAGGTCTTTCCAGAGGGCTGTCTGAGTTTATTGGTTTCTGGTTATTGGTTTTCTTAAATGTAATTGGCTTCTTTCTCAGTGAATGATCCAAAGCTCATGGAAGGAGGAAGCTTGATGTCTTCTATAATCAGTTCCCAAAGTCACACACCGCTACTTCTTTCATTTGTAAGAAGTGATACATTAGTCCAGTTCGCCTTTGAAGGAAGAGAGATTAGGTTGTACCTTTTGCAGATAGAATTATCAAAGAATTAGATAAATTTGAGAACTGTTACACAAGTGGAAAAAAGCAGGAGGTAATTACTGAGAGGAAACCTGGAGTGAGGAGACTTAACAAAAGTCATTTTTTGCCTGAATATTGTTTACATTGCTATATATCTTTGTTATCATTCAAAGTTTTTTGAAATATATGTCATAATAATATAACTAAAATGTTTTATGCTATCTTTGTATTTTACTTAATAAAGTTCATTTGAAGAGATACTTTAGAAGTCCTCAGGATTTCCAGAATGAGAAAGGCAGGGTAGGGCACTGGCCTTGTACATGACTAACCTGGGTTCAATCCCTGATATATGTTGGTATGGCCCTCTGAGCACTGTCAGGAGTGATACCTGCATGCAAAGCCGGGAGTAAGACCTGAGAATCACTGGGTGTGGACCTTGAAACAAAAATAATATAACTATAATACAAATATAAATTTTACAAATACACAAGGTGAAATATATTATCAATTGTAAAGATCTTTTTTAGATTGATAAACTATTTTGTTGTAGTAGAAAAATAGTATATAATAAATTCATAATTATGAAATTCATCAAATACCCAGTTTTCTACTACTAAGTTATCACAAGACAGGATGATTTGGAACCTCTATGCTTTAGATTTCACAAAGGCACATAATTTTATCCTGCTCAATTCAAGCTGGATAAACCATTATTCATTTTTCTCTTAAAATTCTTATAACAGGAAGGCTGATTGTGTTCCTTTTATCTACATCTGTTCAGTACTTCTCTGAATAAGGCTATTTTCTTCAAGAGAATATGGGTTCAAAGTCTCTAGAAGTACTATTTGGTACTTAGAAGCTGCAGCATTATTTCAGCTATTGGAATTGCAAAACACTCATTAAAGTTACTAAAGTAGTTCTCTGCAGGTTTGCACTTTGCTTCACTTTGGGCAGAAGTAATAGTACAGAAGGTAGGCACTTTGCTTGCGTGCAGTTGACCTGGGTTCCATCCTTGTATATCCTACATGGTACTCTGAGCATCACCAGGAGTAATTTTTTTTTATTTTTAGGTATTATGACTTTTATTTTTTAATTTTTATTAGTGAACACCATGAGGTACAGTTGTAGATTTACAAATTTTTGTGCTTGGGTTTCAATTATACAATGATCAAACACCCATCCCTCCACCAATGCCCATTTTCCACCACCACGGGTCCCAGTATCCCTCCCACCCCCCATCCTCCCATCCCACCCTGCCTCTGTGGCAGAGAGAACCAGGAGTAATTCTTGAGTACAGAGCCAGGAGTAACTCCTGAGCATCACAAGTTGTGGACCCAAAACCACAGGAAAAAAAAAAAAAACAGTTGCGTTCTTTGTCGCATTTAATTCACATTATATACCTCTAAAAAGAAGTGCTAACTCAGAGATTATCTAGTTAGTAGAATATATGGGAAAGAGATTTTAGTTAAATATTTTTGAAGTAATATACTATTATATCCTGAAACAAGTTCCATAGGGTAATGTTTCATTACAAAATGTGCATCTTTGCAAATTAACCTTTGCATGTATTACATTAAGTTCATTCCTGCAAGTTTGTTTATTCTTCACCATACAAGTGAAATTTTTGTTTTAGTTTAAGCACAGCGGGTAGGGCGTTCGCCGTACAAGCGGCCAACATGGCCGACCCGAGTTCGATTCCTCCGCCCCTCTCCTCTTGGAGAGCCTGGCAAACTACCAAGAGTATTGGATATGCCAGACACAGTAACAACAAAGTCTCCAATGGAGACTGGGCCCGCTCGAGGAAATCGACGATCAACGGGAGGGCCTTTTACTCATTCCCATATTCCCTATTACCTTTGATAATCACTAATTTCACTGATGTTCTTAGTCACACACCCCTTCCGTCAAGCCCACCTCTCTATCCTTTTGTAACAGTACTAAAGAAAACAACGATGTGTATTTTTAAAATCCTTCAATTAAGTTTTGTACATTTTACATTCAACCATGCTTCTCTAAAATCTGAAATCATTGCCATCATGATGGATTCTCAGTCTGCTGGTATAACATTCTATAAGTGGCAGGGGACACTTGAGAATTATGATAGAATATACTTTGGAGAAGTCCCAATTTCTATATGTAAAAGCCACCTGAAATGAAAATTAATATATGGTAATCAGAGTTCATCTCATGAGAATGCTTGAGAATACCACTTATCTAAGTGTTCATTAGTAAATGTAATAATCTAATATTCTCCCAAATAATCATGCATTAAAAACCTATTTCTGGACTGAGATACAAATGTATGCCACTTGCATTAAATAATGAACAATTTTAAAGAATTTTAAAGATCAATTTTATGCAGGTGCTAAGATTTTATTAACAATTTTTACTTGCTACATCTTTATCAATTAAGACTCATACACTTCATTTCAAATTTTGACATTGGCAGATATAAATAGAGTCTGTGAACAAGAGCAGGACATTTAGATGACTCTTTTAGCAGGGTTTTGAAGGGTT